CAAATCTAAAATGTTAGTCCAGCTCTTGATATTTAAAACATGTAATCAACACCTATACCTACAAAACAGGGTTGGATTAGCCCTGCCCTGAGGAGCTCTCATTCCATTCATGGTATAACCCATTATTTGGCATTAGTTATCATAACGATTTACGCATTATTACAAGCACACTCAGACTCACAAAAATCGCAGCCCAGGCTTATGCATTCATTTAAAGCTTCAGAGAAAAAAATATACATTTCAGCATCTCCCAGTGTTGTGTTGTTATTGTATCTATGCATATTGACAGACCTTTCATCATCATGAGAACTCCTTGTATCCAGGTTATAACCTTGGTCTCTGACCCCAGTCCTATGCTCAACTCTGTCTAAACTGTTCTAGCTTTGAAATAACTTCAAATGTGCCATCTTATAAACAGGCATCTAACCACGTTAATGATGATTTTCACCTGAGACAAAAGTAAAGCAGTATTTCCTAACATAGAAAAGAAAGGCTTCTGTGTTTTTGTTGTTGTTTTCTTGTCATTCATTGCAAAGCTGCTTTCTACAAGATGCAGTAAAAATAGCAAGTTGTACGGAGTCAGAAAAAATCCAGGCTTAAACTCCAGCTCTGCCACGACCCAACTGATTAGGCTTGGACAAGTTAACTCATCATTCTAAGCCTGCTTCCCCTATTCATGGACTGAGCTTGGGAAAAGAGTAGCGGAAACGGCCTATGTGTCTAGAACCAAACTTCCTAACCGGCCTTTCCTCCTTCCTCCTACCCCTTCTAAAATGTCTGCAGCTGAACTTCCTAAATACAGTTTTCTCTTTCCTTCTTCCTCGTCACTTTTGTCTTGCTGAGTTTTTGGATGGTGTCCAGTGGGCAGCATATTTAATACCCAGCTTTGGGCTGACATACCAGGCAGAGATGAATTCACTTGTCTGGGGTCAAGCTTTCAGCCATAGTAATCTGCTTACATATGGGGGGAATTGAGCAAATAAGTACATACATTGAAGATAAAGGTAGCCAGATTTCCTGCTGTTGAACATACAAATGCATACTTGTTTATACACACAAATTCTCTAGGGTCTCTCTGCTGAGAAAGGCCAGTAATGAACACCTCTAGTGCTCAGAGCTTGTTTTTAAATACGACTTTCCACTAAAGAAACCAAAATTCCTGGCAGAAACGGCTGATTCCAAGGCAGGTCAGGAAAATACAAGATAAGCGTGGCACGTTGTTGTGCTAGAAAATAAGGAAGTGATCAAAGAATGATGGAAACATGTCAAAAAGGGGCTTCTATTGGCTAAGTCTAAGAAAATTTGAAGTTAGAACTAAAAAAAATGTAATAAATTGATTAAAATTTGAATTCATGAGTCTATGCTGATGTAAACAAATAAACAAGAAATATATGGCATAGCAAGGAAAACTCTACCTTACAGTAAAATGCCAACTAATAAATCTAGAAGGATTGATAACATTAGAAAGTTGTCATTTGGCATCCATCACAGTAATAACAGATTCAAACAAGAAGCATCAATGGATGCTAAATCTGGAAGAAGAAAGGATGATGGGAAACAGAATATTTACAGTCTCGAAGCTTCTCCCTACAAAACACAAAGATTCTCCCCACAAAACACACATCGCCTATTAATTTATGAATGTGACATATTTGCTAATTCACCTTGTAACAGAGAAACCTGGCAGACACAATCTTAAAGAAACAGAAGTTAACAACATGAAGCCATGGAATAAATTGAGATCATGTGAGACCTAAGAGGACTCACTGACTGAAGCACAGCATCTCCTCTATGATATTCCTGTCAAGGGGTCACAAACATGAGGAAACATCAGACAAACCTATACTAAGGAACATTTAATCACATAACCAGCCTGTATTCCTCAAAAATGTCAAAGTCATGAAAGATAAGGCTGGGTATGGTATCTCACGCCTGTAATTCCAGCACTTTGGGAGACCAAGATCACTTAAGGCCAGGAGTTTGAAACCAGCCTGAGCAACCCAGCAAGATCTTGACTCTCAAAAAAAAAAAAAAAGAAAGAAAAAAAAGACAAGACTGGCAACTATTCCAGAAGAGGCATGACAACTAAAATCAACGAGTAATCCTGGATTAAATCCTAGATCTAAAATGGAAATGATTGGGACAAATGGGGTAGTTTACATAGAGTCCATGAATAACATGATGTAAAGAACTTAATGTATATCCCCCCAAAACCATATGTTGAAGCCCTAACCTCCCAGTGTAGCTGTATTTGGATTAGGAAGTAATTATGGTTGAATGAGGTCCTAAGGGTGGGAACCTGATCTCATGGGATTGGTGTCTTTATAAGAGACATATAAGAGCTCATTTACTCCAATCTATGTAAGGTCACAGCAAGATGGCAGATGTCTACAAGCCAGGAACACCCCTCACCAGGAAGTGAATCAGTTGATACAGTGATCTTGGACTTTCCAGCCTTCAGAACTGTGAGAAACAAGTATTTCTGTTGTTTAAGCAACCAGTCTGTGGTATTTTGTTATCGGTAGTCCAAGCTGACTACATATGGTAATACTGGATAAATATTAACTTACGGTTTTGATGCCTGCTCTGTGGTTTGGAAGGAGAAAGTGTCCTTGTATTAGGAAATAAACAAGTAAGTATACAGATAAAGACTGAAGAATCTTCATCATTCCCTAATCTTGGTGAAGAGTATACAAGAAATTTGAGTACTATCATGTTGCAGAAATGTTTTAAATGGTTTAATATGTTTGTTAATTGGACATTGAACTAAATGATGTTCTACACATTTCATTCAAAATATAAAAAACCAAAATATTTGTCATTCAGAAGCATTTCATAAACATGAACTGTCATTTCACATTATCATACTAAGATCAGATACGATGCATATTTTCTTTCATTAAAGTAGAAAGCTACAAAGACCAACACCACTTCATTGCTATCAATATCACTGTACATAAGAGTTTCATTTTGCAATTATTATACAAAAAATAAAATACTGGAGTCCAAGACGAAGACTGTATTACTGACATATATTTATACTGCTACCTGGAGCTACAAGGAAGGGGTGCCTGGAGAAAAAGAATGGTGAGTGGAAATGTATTGTTGGTGTCGGGGATTTCAGTCTATGTTGTAAGAAAATTAAAGTACGAGAAATCTCATAGTTTAATTCTAGAAGAGCTGAGAATCTGGTACAAGAACCAAGGCGTATGCAGATGAAAAAGATTTTCAAACACTGTCATAACACAATATGAATAAATTTGTAGAATCATGGAGACCTGAAATTTTTAAGACAGTATGCCAGAGTATAGAAAGAAGTCAGAAGGTATTTAGATTTTATTGGTTCTGCAATTTTCTGGCCCTGTGACCACAAATTAATCAATTACTCACTCAAGGTGACCTTCATCACTCATGTGGACTACTGCAATTGCTTCCTAATTGTTCTACTTCCATTCCTCCCCCTACCTTTAATCCATTCTCCACAAAGTAACCAATATCTTTTAAAAAATGTGAGTCAGATCATATCACTTGTATGAGTCAAACATTCCAATAGCTTCCTATTACTTTTAGAATAAAATCCAAACCCTTGGGCATGGCTTTAAAGGCTGGTATTACCAGGCCTTTGTTACCTGTTCTGACCCCATTTCCAACCACTTTCCACTCTGCTCACTATGTTGGGAACACAGTGGCCTCCTTTCTGTTCTTCAATCATTCTAGCTCTTTCCTTCCCCTGGGCCTTTGCTTGGCCTGGAATCGTCATTGAGCAGGTAGCTCCTTATCATCATTCAGGTCTAAATTCAAATGTCACTTCTTCAAAAGGACCTTACTTTACTACCCCTTCTCATCACTGTCAACCATATTATGTTACTCCATTGTCTTCACTGTACTGATTGTTCATCTGAAGTTCCCTTATTTAGGTAACTGTTACTTGATTATTTTCTGAGTTCCTCAGTAGAAAGGACACTCCATCACAGAAGTGATCTTCCGCCTTGTTCTGTGCTATAGCGCCAGCAGGTCGATTGGTGTCAGGCTCACAGTTGAGAGGCAATAAATAAATAAAATGTCGAATGACTACTTAAAATTTTCTCAGGCCTCCAAGTTCCTCATCCACATAGTGGGGTATAATTATACCTGCTCTGACCATTAGAAATGGCCAGGTAGCAAGTAGAAATACAGCCTAACTTCTAACTTAATTCTTACTGTGCCTCGCTCATCATGAAAGTCGCGTTATATGAATATTCTCATTTACTGTTATGATTTCCATTTTACAAGTAAGGACACCAGGTCTTAGAGAGGGCAAGTAACTGATCTAAGGGCACAGGGCCATGGTGAGGACCCGGGTAAAATTCTAGAACTGCCTAACCTCAGAACCTGAGCTCTTAACTGCTATTTTATCGTTTCTAGAAAGATGCTTCCTTCTAATACAGTAAAATCCGCTACGCTGTCTGTCCCCCTCGAGTTCGTCCTGTGGGACAACTGAAGAAAGCTATTACATCCCCCCAAGGGCTTCTTTTCTTTCAGTCTCTCCTTAAATGGCCCTCCTGTCCTGGTCACTCTCTCCCGAACAAACTTCAGCTTGACAGCCTCCCTCTTGCTCCAGCTGTGTGGTGATTTCCACTGGCCAAGTTGTAAAAAGGCATCAGAGCAGGGGAAGCCGACTGCCCACGGGCTGAGAAAATGCAGGCATCGTGGGTGTCCATGAGGGCTGCGGTTAACGCAGCAAGGCTTCCTGAGAGAGGTGATCCCCGAACCAAGTCCAGGGCAGTAAGCACAGGAGCCAGCGGCCAGGGGACCCCGGGAGAAAAGACCGCGGGAGAGCGTCGCCGGGGCTGCCGGGTGGAGACAAAGGCTGGTGGAGTTTAAATAAAGATCACAGGCACAACCCCAAGTGATGGCAAGCTTGCACGCGGACGGGCTAAACGCATTTTCCTAAACGTTAAGAGACGCTCTGGCGGGAAGCGAAGTGGGAGGAACGGTCACAAAGCAAAACGCAAACTTACCCGTAATCTGGCAACCCGGCCTCCGTAGCCCTACTGCAAGCGCTGCCACCTGAGGAGCCTGGTAGCCAAGGCAGCGGCAGGCTCAACCCAGATCTCGCGAGACGGAGCAGGCCTCGCGAGATTTGACCTCGTCCCTGAGAGGCTGGTGTGTGTTAGTTCAGGGGGTTATGGGAGGGCTCTGGTATCCGGGATGGAGGGGCGTCGCTTTCTGTGGCTGGCGTTGGATCCACCCTGGGTCTCCAGCCAGGGCTGCAGAGAGGGTAGAGCCGTTTCTTAGGCCAGCGTGGAGTGGGACAGGAGGTACCGAGAGAGGACTGAGGTGGCTTGGGACATGGAAGCACTGCAGCCTTCCAGCCCGGCATCCAGCACTGCAGCCGCCGCGGCGGCCCAAGAGCTCCGACCCTTTCACGCGCGCGCATGTGGAGGAATGGCGGCGGCGGAACAAAACGACCCTCACTTACGTGGCCGCTGTCGCCGTGGCCATGCTGGGGGCGTCCTACGCTGCCGTACCCCTTTATCGGCTCTATTGTCAGGTAGGGGCCGCGCTGCCCGCAGGGTGGCGCAGATGCGAGAGGTGGGGGTGCAGGACAAATCCCGGGACAAGCCCTCGCTCTGCGGGTCGTAGGTGGAAGAGGTGTCCGATATTATCTACCTAAGAGGAGAGAGGTTCAGAACAGCCACTTAACACCCAAAGCCACCAAAGAAATTGGTGGCAGAACTGCAAGTAGCACCCAGTTCCTCTTAGTGATTGTGCTTATCCTGTGCTGCAGACTCCCTCATCTATGAACTGCACCTCGTCCAAAAAAAAAAAAAAAAAAAAAGGTCCGCAGCCTCTAATCGGGTATCCAGCAGTCTGCCTTACTCTCCTGCGCACACACGCTTTTAAAATGTATATTATTCATACATTAAGTCTGCAAACCACATGTGGTTTATGTGCTAAGGGTAACTCTGGAAATTGGGCTTATCGTGTTTCTTGTGCTTAAACTGGGATTAGCAGTTCCTCCATACAAAGAGGCATGAATTAGGCCTTTGAGGCTCTCTCTCCCGCCCCTTTTAATATATAACTGTGATGTACTTAACCTGGAATCTCTTAAGTACATTGCAGTGGTTCTGGGAGTGTGGCGCCCAGGACCAGCAGTATCAGCATCACCCGGGAACCTGTTGAAAGTGCAAATTCTAGGGCCCGACTCCAGGACTGAGTCAGAAACATGGGGGGGTGGGACCAGCAGTCTGTATTTTAGTAAGTCCTGCAATTGATTTTGAGGCCAAGTTTTGAGAACCACTGGCAAAGTCAAGTTTCACGTATTTTAGAGATTTAGCGTTTGTCCTTAGCTAATAATTTGCAGCTTTGGCTGGGCATTAGGATCACCCGTGGAGCTTAACGTTAAATACACGTTCCAGGGATCCCCTACCCCAGAGATTCAGGTTAGGAAGTCTAGACTAGGGACAGGAATTTCGGTTTAAAAATCAGGCCACAAGCGAGAGCTACACATTGTGTTCAGTAGGTGTTTAAGATAGTGGCTTCCAAAATTCATTGTACAGCTGCATTGGGAATCACCTGGAGAGCTTCTAAAAATCCACACACATTACCTATTTTTATTATAATGCCAGAGTGGGAACCAGGCATCAGTAATTGTCAATTATGTTTTAGGTGATTCCAACGTGCAGGAAAGTTTGGGAATTGCTATTTTAACACCATGACTGGTATTCTTAGCTGGAGTTCACTCTGTCCGTGAGGCACGTTTATTTATTTAAATTTGTAGAGACGAGGTCTCCCTGTGTTGCTCAGGCTGGTCTCTATTCCTGGGCTCAAGTGACCCTCCTGCCTTGGCCTCCCAAAGTGCTGGGATTACAGGCGTGAGCCACCATGCCCAGGCTGTGGAGATTAATTTACCTTTCTTTTAGATGATGAAGCAGCAGAAGGCAAAAGGACTTTTCTTTTCTGGCATAGTCTCCTAATGCCAGCATTTATGTGGGAATGTGCAATAATTGATTTCTGAGGATGAGTGTAGAATGTGAATTACTTTTCATCAGAGACCAAACCCAGGCATGAATTCTAAAACTACCAGTTGGTTAAATCATAAGCAGAACTGAATCCAAATCAGCAAATCTAGATCATTCTCAGACTGCCAAGAGTCTGGAGGAGAGTGAAATTTGTCCCTCAGGAAACATTTAATGTGTGAAGACATTTTTGGTTGTCACAGCATGGAGGTGGGGGTATAGGGTGCTATTGGCGTCTAATAGGTAAAGGCTGGGAATGCTGCTAAATAACCAACAAAGCACTGCCTCACCCCCAAACAACAAAAAATTATTCAGCTCAAAATGTCCATAGTGCTAAGATTGAGAAACTCTGCCCCAAACTGAAATAATTGATAATACTGTGTGTGAAATGTGCCCACATGCAATCATAGGTCAGGAAGGCAAATGTAATTTGTAATCTATCAGGTTCTTAGGGCTAGTAGCACAACTAGAATAGCGATCAGGACATCTTTTCAGTGCAGTTTTCTAGTCTTTTTGTCTATTTTACTTTCTCTAGGCATTGAACTTAGAAATTTGAAGAATCCATGTTCAAAGACTATATCAGGGAATCTTTATTGAGGGAGGATACTTAAAAAATATTTTTATTCAAGTGACAAATTCTTCAGGAAAAGGAGTTACATCTTAAACATTATAGCACTCAGGCAGAAGGATAAACAAGGATAAAGGCTTGCCCTCTGATGCATCTTTTAGGGATATAATGTAATTCAGTTATGTTGTATGGCAGTTGAATAAAGTTAGTTGACTTGTGTAACAAACAGAGGATGCTAAAACACTGTATCTTGCTGGGAGTCTTCTCCTAGCCTCAAATTTGTTTTTTTCTTCCTAGCATAGTAACAGGCTAATTATCTGGAAATCAGAATTCTGGCAACCTCAAGTATCCGAAGAAAGATGACCTTGGAAGTAAGGGCTTTTTTTTTTTTTTTCTTCTTTTGAGATGGAGTCTCGCTCTGTCGCCCAGGCTGGAGTGCAGTGGCGCGATCTCGGCTAACTGCGCCCTCCGCCTCCGGGGTTCAAGTAATTCTGCCTCAGCCTCCCGAGTAGACCTAGGACTACAGGCGTGTGCCACCACGCCTGGCAATTTTTTTTTTTCTATTTTTAGTAGAGACAGGGTTTCACTGTGTTAGCCAGGATGGTCTCCATCTCCTGACCTCATGATCCACCCGCCTTGGCCTCCCAAAGTGCTGGATAATGGCTTTTTTAAAAAAGTGATGTCAAGGAAATAACTGTCATGAATAAAAGAAGTGTCAGACACAAATACTCTTGATGCCCTATGATTATTTCTGTGGCCATAGGGATTAGGTGCTCTGATTACTGATTTATATAAAAGCTCTACTATACAGAGAAGTACAGAGAAAGATTCAAAGACATTAACCAACATGGGAAAATACCTATGATGCCTTAGAAAAGCAGAATGTTAATAAAAGTGAAGCTACAATCTAATTTGGATTATAAAAGCTGTGATATGGAAAAGGACCAGACAGGAATATGGAAAAATTGAATTAACATTTTCAGTGAAATTACGAGGTGATGGGTAAATTTTATTTCTATTAACGAAACACTAGCAATGAAGAGAAATGTGTTTTTTTACAAATGGCTAAGCTGGAAATTGTGAGTTCTACTATCAGTGATAATAGTTCACTTATCTAGTGATTCTGCTTTTCCCAGACTCATTTTTGACCATGCCAGGTAACCAAGGGATTGCTGAAAAAGAGAAATGACTATAATGAATACAGGCTCATGACATCCCAAAAGTGGTCAGACTCTTGACAGTTACAGAAATGGTCAGTTAACCATATGTAAACTTGGCTCCAAATGGATTATTAATACTACATTGTTTTTAAACTTTTATCAAAAAAATAGATCAACACCTAAAAGTATTGTTTAACATATTTGGTATCTTTTTCTAGACTACTGGACTTGGAGGATCAGCAGTTGCAGGTCATGCCTCAGACCAGATTGAAAACATGGTGCCTGTTAAGGATCGAATCCTTAAAATTAGCTTTAATGCAGATGTGCATGCAAGTCTCCAGTGGAACTTTAGACCTCAGCAAACAGAAATATATGTAAGTGACTAACCAGCCATTAAAAGATTACTTTATTAATGTAAATTCCTTTCTTTCATCACTTAAACTGTCAGAGAACTACTTTTAACAATGTGATTCTAATAAAACATGACATTTTTTCTTGTTCCAAACTGACTTTTACTGTCATGTAACTTAAAAATTAAAGTATAAATTCTGTTTGCATTAGGTATAAGACACTGTCAAAAAGTAGTCTATGGGAATAAAAAAATTTATAGTAATGGAACCCGTCAGTATTTTGAAATTAAGTTTAGATGAGTGAAACAGTTGGGAATAGCAGTAACTGTCAGCCTATATAGCTTCCTGACTTTTCCTCAGGCATAGAAGACATGGGAAAAATGTGGAAAAGCGTTGGTGACAATAATTAGTTTACTGGTTTATATCAAAAGTATCCCTGTCCTTGTAAAAGAAAAAAAATTGAGGGCCTTTGAAGTAATCAATAAGTAGTAAATAGTTATGTTATACTCCAGTGAGACTGAGACTATACCTAAAAGCTTTCCTAAAATTTTAACCAACTGTAAGAAAGATTTTAACTGATATCTCATTAATTGAGGATTAGCCAGAGTTAATTTCAACCCATATTGGAAAAGCCTTATAAATATTATTGCTTGCCCAGTTTAGTAAACATGACTGAATCTCTTAATAATTAAAGCTTTTATAGGTTATGATTATGAATCTTATCCAATTACATGGTAGTATACAAGGTATTAGTGGCTGAATTGGTACACGTGACAGAATATCCTTTGGAAAAATTTTTTAAGCCTTGCTATTTTCTTATTTTCTCCAAACAAGGTATTAACACTCTGTGGCATAATAAAGGTTCTAGTCAGTCAGTTTTATTCTGGTTTTAAGGTAAGTTTAATGTTGGTATCTTTTAAAAAAAAAAAAAGTCAGTCATGACATTCAGGTATAAGGGTTACAGAAAAGTTGGGCTAGGGCTGTTATATGATTGGCTTGGACACATTTTAAATAATGTAATTTGCAGATTATTCCTTGAAGACCTCAAATATACAAGAGGACAATTCATAACTAATTGTGGATATTAGAACATTGGTTCTTCATTGACATATGCAAGTAAGTTTTTAAAGTCATATGTTTATGGGTAATACTCACAATTTATTTTGCTGAACCCTGCATTAGATTAGGTATTATGGTCTGATGAATAGGCAAAATAATGAGACTAATTTAGCAGGGAAAAGAGGAACTTTGTGAGATTCAAAGTATTGATTTTTTATATATATATATTCTTCAAAACAGGTGGTGCCAGGAGAGACTGCACTGGCGTTTTACAGAGCTAAGAATCCTACTGACAAACCAATAATTGGAATTTCTACATACAATGTTGTTCCATTTGAAGCTGGACAGTATTTCAATAAAATACAGGTAAAACAAAGTGTAAGCTTTACAGAATATGATAAAGGTACATGAAACTGTTTACTATGAAACTTAGTGTTTTTAGTAGATCTTGTGATTTCTGAAAACTAATTTCTTCTAAATATCAAACTATTTTTCTTCACTATCTATACCTGCTATGCAGATATTGAGAACGAAACCAAATGAATATCTGCTTTTAAGATTAGAATTTGTTCTTGATCCTTAAAGCAGAATTCATTGAGATGAAAAGATGCTCTTATCACAGAACTGTGTATTTAACCATATGTGTATTAAAATCAAGAAGTGTACTAGAATGCTAAAAGAACTGTATAGTTTGTTATGCAATATGAGAATAGAAATGTTATTAAAGTCTTTCTATAATTTCCAGTGCTTCTGTTTTGAAGAACAAAGGCTTAATCCCCAAGAGGAAGTAGACATGCCAGTGTTTTTCTACATTGATCCTGAATTTGCTGAAGATCCAAGAATGATTAATGTTGATCTTATCACTCTTTCTTACACTTTTTTTGAAGCAAAGGAAGGGCACACGTTGCCAGTTCCAGGATATAATTGAAGTCAGCAACTAAGTCTTCCTTCAAAGTTGATTTTTGGGAAAATCATGTATCCTATCTTTTCAAAGGAGAAATACTGTACAATAATATGAAGTCTTATATTTTAAATACTTTTTCTCAACTAATTTATTTCACTTAAAATTGAGAGAACAAGGAAACCCACATACCTAGCTAGAATATATGATTGACTATTCAATACCATACTGAAGAGTTTGATAGTATTAAAATAAGTCATTTTGTTTTTTAAATATGCAGGCATGGGTTCATCTTAATTCTATAATTCCCTTCCAGATTATTAACTCTTCATACTTACAGCAATGAATCTGACAATGTTTTTCAAAAATGTATGATCAGGGTTATTTGTTTCAAGTCATAGGCCAGAACTTCTGACTATGTTTATTATATCTAAAAGAGTTGGTTGCTGTTTTCCTTATGAACAGTCAGTATTTTAAAAGCTCAAAGTAGAAGAGGAGTCACTAAGCCCTAACAGCTTGTCCAAAGATTTAAATTCTTATTTCAAATTTGATTTGTGCTTTAAGATTTCGGGCTATTTTATATTCAGAGTTCTGAATAGATGATTACTTTGAAATTGTAGTATCATGAAATTGAAATAAAATACATCTAGGCTGCTAGCCAAAGTGTCATCATTACAAGCCCATGAATGTTAAAATGTACAGGTGGGATTGTGAAGATTTACTGACATCAAAAGTTCTTCTGGAAAAAAACCTTTGTAAAAAAAAAAAACGTATTAAATTATTTTAATAGTGATTTATTTGTCATCAAATGTACAACTTATTCTAAATATTTTCATTTTCTGTGTTCCAAATAGAAATGTTAAGTTGTAGTAAAAAGAGAAAAAAAGACTATTTAGCATTACAAAGAATCATATTTCAAGGCCGCCCAATGTAGAGTCCAGTGACCTGTTCAGGACACCTGAAATATAATTAAATGACAATCATCAAGGTTTTAACAATTTACAGTTCTAAACCAGAGGATTATAAAGAAGTGCAAATTGACTTTTACATTCAACTTTAGTTAAATGAAGGCACTCAGTATTCTTCCTGAATAATACATTCAGTTTCTCACATTTTATGCTTTCATCTATTCAGAATTATTTTGTAGTAAAATAATCTACTCTTATCACAGCTGTGTGACGATTTCTAAATGTAGGAGGGCCTGTGAAATATATGACATTGCAGTTAAATTGGTTGGCCTAAGGACTAAGTAATTTTTCTGCTGCTGAAGTTTTAAGTATTTGTTCCCAAGAAGTTCTGTTGAAATCTCACGCTGTTGTCAGGAATCAGTGTTATCCTGGAACTGTTATTCTTCTATTTAATCTTCATCATAGCAGAAATGTTCCAGCGTGGCTTTGACATGGTGGCAGGTATTGTCTTCCAGGCTTCAAAGCTGCACAGTCTACCCTTTAGAGAGTTGGCACCTTTGATGTGGCTAGTGAGCTGATCATCCACTTTCTTCTAAAATAAAGAGAAGAAAATAGCCAGTATTCATCCTGTCCTCTTTCCCCATTCCTTGATAACTCTCTTGTCTTTACTGGGAGGCTGGAGAGCCACAGTCTAGTAGAAGAAAGGTAAGAATGTACTTCTTCCATAGGGGAGGGTATAAGGGGAATAAATAAGTTTAATAGTTCATTGGTGATCATTAAATAGTAAATACATGGGATTAGTAGTGGTGAAAATAGGAAAAACTCAAACCTATTTGGAGTACTAACAGTAAATGGGCCTACTGGTACCGGTTGACAAGTATTAACCGCACGTAAAAGACAAATGCCTGATTTCAGTGCTACTCCTATTGCTCATCTATTTTGTTAGCATTAATATTTCTATACCATAAACTACTATATTTCCAAGTCTTATTTACAGATGAGAAAATCACAAAGAATGAATCTCAGTAGTGAACAATGGTTCAGCACAATTGGAATGATTCAGGGGAACTCATATTTCAAAGTGACAGACTCAGATGGCTCTTACAAAATATAAATACTAAATATGTAAAGTGATAATTATACTGAAATTATATGGAATTAAGTTGTATAAGTTGAAGTCTTTACCTCAGTCACCATGATTTTCAGTTCCTTTGTGCTGGTGAGCATCAATTTCTTCATAAATAGCTCTGAAACAAAGCCATCACAGCAAAAGGGTTATATATCAATTTCAAAGTGCTATTTTCGTTTTTAACTGCCAGCACCGTAATTAAAAATTGAGCTGTTTTTGGAGTTCTGGCTATATATGAGTTAAAAATAAGTTTCTGCCCTGAAGTGTATATTCTAGTTTTCTTAAATTCTAATGTTGCACTTCCTTTTTTTTTTTTTGGAGACAGAGTCTCACTCTTTTGTCCAGGCCGGAGTGCAATGGTGCTTTCCTGGCTCACTGCAACATCTGCTTCCCGGGTTCAAGTGATACTCCTGCCTCAGCCTCCTAAGTAGCTGGGATTACAGGGACATGCCACCATGCCCAGCTAATTGTTTTGTATTTTAAGTAGAGACAGGGTTTCACTATGTTGGCCAGGCTGGTCTCAAACTCCTGACCTCAGGTGATCTGCCTGCCTCTGCCTCATAAAATGCTGGGATTACAGGTGTGAGCCACCAAACCCGCCCTTAATGTTGCAATTCCTATGCCTCTTAAAAGTATGTATTTTATAGAACCAATTAATTTTTTATTGTGATTTAAATGAGAAATATGGCTCAAATTTGAACAGTTTATGTTTTGCTTAAAAAAGTCTTCAGTTCTTCTGGTTTCAAACATTTTTTAAAAATATTAGGATAAGTGTAGTGACTCACACCTATAATCCCAGCATTCTGGGAAGCTGAGGTAGGTGGATCGCTTGAGTTCAGGATTTCAAGACCAGTCTGAACAACATGGCAAAATACCATCTCTACAAAAAATATAAAAATTGCCAGGTGTGGTGGTACCGGCCTGTTGTCCCAGGTACTCAGGAAGCTGAGGTGGGAGGATCACTTGAGCCTAGGAAGCAGAGACTGCAGTGAGCTGAGATCCTGCCACTGCACTCCAGCCTGGGCTACAGAGCAAGACTCTTGTCTTAAAAAAAAAAAAATTAATCTTCCAGCTTATTTAACCCATGTGATTATAGTCCAGACTCCTCAGCCACCTATAGCTCATCACTGTCATTTCTGTACATTTTTTATATTGTTTAATGACATCCTTCATTTTTTTTTCTTTTTCTTTTTTTTTCTTGAGACAGGGTTTCACTCTGTCACTCATGCTGGAGTGCAGTGGTGCAGTCATGACTTATTGCAGCTTCAACCTCCCAGGTTCAAGTGATCCTCCCATTTCAGCCTCTCAAAATGTTGGGATTAGAGGCATGAGCCACCATGCCAGGCCCATTTAGTTCTTTATATGTATCTTACATATGTCTGTAGCTGGATAATATCTATAACTGAAAGCACAGTATTCATATATACAGTATAGCAAAACATGGCTGAGGAAAAATCTCAAAAATCACAGCACTGTGAAACCATGATCACCAAGTTCATAAGGCCCCAGAATGGTCCTACAATTTTAATCTTTCCCTAAAAAGTTTGGTCTCATCTCCCTCAAAACGATTTCAGTCTTCTTCACTCTCCTCAAACCTCTGACCTCTCTGGTAGAAACCTCATTCTTAATACATTAAATGTCTTGATATGGAAACTTTCTCATTTTCCCATCACTAAATCTTCAAGTTTATCTTCATCTGTATTGTCCGTTATTTCTGTGATCCTATCTATTCCTGGCTTCTGAAGCACTTCACCCAGTTATTCTCCCCTTCCTGAGTCTTCAGCCTCTCCTATGCCAGATCCTATTCTTTGACATTCACAGATTCTCCAGCATCTTCCATATCTCCCATTTTATACAAAGTACAGTCTGTAATTCCATCTGTACTTGTAGTAAATGCCTTGGTATCCTCTAGCTACCAAACTCCCCCCACCCCGCCTTTTTTTTTTTTTTTTTTTTTTTTTGAGGTAGAGTTTCACTCTTGTTGCCCACGCTAGAGTGCAATAGTGTGATCTCAGCTCACTGCAACCTCTACCTCCTGGGTTCAAACAATTCTCCTACCTCCTTCTGAGTAGCTGGAATTACTGGCATTCGCCACCATGCCTGGCTAATTTTTCTATTTTTAGTAGAGACGGGGTTTTGCCATGTTGGCCAGGCTGGTCTCGAACTCCTGACCTCAGGCGATCTGCCCACCTTGGCCTCCCAACGTGCTGGGATTATAGGCATGAGCCACCGTGCCCGGCCCAAAACCCATTTTCATCACTGCTTCTCATTTAAGTTCTAAGAAGTTATCTGTACTTAACTGTCTCTCTTTACTCTCTTATGTGCTTTTCAAATGCACTGAAATTTGGGTTCTGTATCCATCAGTCCATCAAAGTAGCTTTACTAAAATCATCAAGTGATCTCTAATCCATTATCTAGTTTTCAGTTCTCATCTTGTCTGCCCCTAGCACTGTTCTTCACAGTTGTACTCACTTCTCTTTGCTTCCAAATTACAGTTTCCTCATCTGGTACTGAGCTCCCTGTTAACTTTCTTTACTCTTGGCTTTAGCATTTCCATTTCCTTGAATGTGCCAGAACTCTGTCCTCTGGGTCTTTGTACAGGTTGTTCCTTGAACCTACAATACTCATTTCCAAACTTTTAACTAAGAATTGCGGGCCTCAGCTTTTAATGCTACCTGAAGCTTTCTCTAACCCCCATTTAAGTTCTGTTATACACTTTCAAGTTGCCATATTCTTTGATAACATTAACACAAATTGTAAACCTGTATTTGGTGATTTGTCTAAGTTCTGTATCCATGCTACATTTAATCTCTGTGAGGATAAGGGAGCATGTTTCTTGCTCAAAATTATAAATTAGTCCAGTCATAGTCCCTGGCACATAATATTGAAATAAAGGAATCGTGTATATCTTCATAAACATACTGTTTGTCTTGGTAGAGCAAAAATTGTCAACCTGGGGTTCATGGACAACCAGTGATATGAAAAAACCCAGTAATTTCCTGCAAGATTCTGTGCTTTTCCTTGGAGAGAAGTCCCTGAATTTCATGGGACTTTCAAAAGAACTGAGACATTCTGACCCCTAGAAAGACCCATCACAGGAATAAAGAGTTCCAAAGCTTCACCTCTCCAGCTTTTTACTGTCTCTCCCACCTCCAGTCTCTGTGACACTGCCATATCTACATACAGCAATCTCCTAATTTGAATAGAATCAAGAAATTTTCCACTACCTATTTGGATGGAGAAAAAACAAGTTTCTAGAAAGCATACCTAGTTTAGTGCTAGTTTCTTAAACCACTAATATGATCAGTGATAGATCTACTCTAACAGGCAGAATGACTTAGAGAAATTTCTCAAACCTGAGTTAGGAAAAAATACATAGTGGACTCCTAAGTCCCTTAACATCTGCTCATAAATTAAGTCAACCATCACATTGAGGGATTAAACCAGGGACCATAATATCAAATGTCTACACATGTCAGCCAAAGAAGAGATGCAGAGGGTTGGGTGGGACTGTAAGCAGATAGGAAGGGTCTCCAGGGACTATAGGAATACAATCGACTTGATTAATCACCTTTTTTCCCCAAACCCTGTGTGGAATGCAGCCAGCTAGCTGGTTTAAACCAGCTCATGACAGACCTCAGAAATTTACAGATGGATCCCAGTGTACTTGCTTCATTACCATAACATGTGACCTGTGTGCTGAAATAACTCACTGCATCCGTACAACTGCAACCCCTCTCCATATAATAACATACCCTCTTCCCTATCACCCCATAAAACCCTCCTGTCACTTTCCTGCTTTGGAGACTATGCCCAGTGGTTTATTTGTGACAAGTAATAAAACTCCTATTGCTCAAAGCCTACATTCTTGGTTGGTTATAGTGGCTCATGCCTATAATCCCAGCACTTTGGAAGGCTGAGACAGGAGGATTGCTTGAGCCCAGGAGTTCAAAACTAGCCTGGTCTACATAGACCCCCTTCTCTATAAAAAAAGAAAAAATTAAAAGGCTGGGCACGATGGCTTACACCTATAATCCCAGCACTTTTTGGGAGGCTCAGGCTCAAGTTCAAGGTAAATGAACTTGAGACTGAGAGTTCGAGACCAGCCTGGGCAACATGGCAAAACCCTGTCTCTACTAAAAATACAAAAAATTAGCCAGGCGTGGTGGTACCTGTCTGTGGTCCCAGCTACTCAGGAGGCTGAGGCATGAGAATTGCTTGAGCCTGGGAGGCGGAAGTTGCAGTGAGCTGAGATCACCCCACTGTACTCCAGCCTGATAGAGTGACACTCTGTCTCAAAAAAATAAATTAGCCAGGCATGGTGGCGTGCCCCAATAGTCTCAGCTACTCAGGAGGCTGAGTAGGGAGGGCTGCTTCAGCCTCATAAGTCAAGGCTGCAGTAAGCCATGATCATGAGTGACACAGCGAGACCCTGTCAAGAAAAAAAAAAAAAAAAAAGAATAAGCTGTGTTCTCATGGAGGGTTGTCTGTTACTCACCACATGAATGAATCTCAGGTTTTTTTAGGGGTAACAAGTCCGGCACCCCAGATGGGACCCAGGCCCTGACTTGACTTCCCATATAGACTCCTGGCAGGCAAAGCAGTGGGCTGTGGAAGCCTGCCTGGGCCAACTCACCTCGGTTGCCAAGAGGGAGACTAGAGAAAGGCCTTGGGACCCCCGAACTGGTGTCTAGTGAAGTCTACTAACCAGCACCACAAGATCTCTCTGGGAGAGGAGAAGTGGCTGCCTAGAGTCCAGACCTTTTGCTCGGTGCTCCTTCGAAGCAGCAGCTCCATGAACTACTAAAAGAGTGGTCTGGGTTTTGATCATTAGGATTCTGGGTTGTCAGGACTAGGACCTAGGTGAAGGGATCCAGGATTATTGAGAAAAAGAACTTCTTCTTTCAGGTCTGGGAGACAGAGACATCGCCATTGTTTTAACAAGGGGAATCCCCAACATAAAGACAAGGATGCTTGTCTTCAGGATTTGATCCCTATCTGGTATGACTGTAGGGCTCGATACTCTTCCTTGTCTGGGGCCTGAAGGAATATGAAGTCTGGATTCCTCTACCCTTAGTGTGTGGCAACCCCTAAAATATCAGGCTTTGTTTTGCAGCAGTCAGAGAAGGACTGCTATTGGTTTGATGAGGAGACCAACTTTCAAGGATCATGATCCCTGGAACCAGAATGCAGTGATACAAAGGTTATGTGAACAGAATGTGTGTGCTTTCTCTGAGGAAACACCTCACTTGATTGATTTACCTACCACCCCACCACCTGAGCTGGATCCAGAACTACTTCAGTGTCTCCATGAGATCTCCTGGGAGGCTGCCCGGACTGAACATGATCCAGGGAAAGGAAATCACTGTTACACTCTCAGCTCCCCAGGACCTCCACTCCAGATGGCTTCGCATAGTGGCAAGCAAAGAGGACCACAAGTATTCAAGCTGAGTTGTGGAATTTGTGTTATCATTAATCTCCAGAGTTTGGAAGCCCCTCAAACTCTGTGCAGAGACCCTAGGATGTGGTGAACCAGGTCTTGGAAGGAGAGCTTGTTGGGGTGCCTCCTCTGGCAATGGAAACTGCATATCAACTCATGACCAAAAAGCAAATGATATATTACTGTAATAGAGCCTGGCCCCAGTATTCCCTAGGAGATCAGAAGAGATGGTCTGAACGTGGGTCACTTACTTACAATTCTCCAATTGGACTTACTTTGCAAGAAATACGGTAAATGGGAAGAAATACCCTATATGCAATGTTTTATGGCCCTCTATCAAAACCCTGCCCTGCAGATGAAATGCAGAATATGTAAATAGGCCAAAGGGAACTATATTGCCAATTCTAGAAGCCTCTGGAGAGGAAGCACCAGTCGTGTGGGGGCCTGTAGGGAAGGGAACAAGAAGAGTCCCTTTATTTCCCTCTCCAAGAGAAGTGAGGCCCTCTAACTCTACTCGGGGCCTGGTACCTTGACCAATACAGGGGCATAGTCCACCTTCTTCCTTGGGAATGGTGCTCTCAGCACCTCCAGGGGAAAGCAAGGGCCCGTTATGTACTTGCCGGGCCCTCCAAACTCTGCAGAGCCAGCAATGGCTCCTGCTATGGCAATAGCAGGCCCCCGCCCCCGCCCCCGCTGTACTCTTCTTTGCCAGGGAGCACCACTCATAGTGGGAATGCATATAACCCTGGAGGGTGACTGTTCCCACTCAGAGCGTGCCTGTTGGAGAAAGAGGTTTTGCTCGGGTCTGTGTTTTTTAAAACTGTTGACTTGTATAACTGGAAATCCCATAGTAAGGGCTTACGGGTGAGCCCACAAGAGTTCATAACTCGCATATGGAGAATATTCTCCACACATAACCCTACCTGGCCAGGTGTGCAGACCTTAACAGCAACCCTGCTCACAGCAGAAGATAAATCTGCCACCATGGCCAAAACTGAGGAGGAGGCAGACAATATGTGTGCTGATAACCTGGTGACCTGTCCTGTTGAGGTGTTGGTCCCAATAGCTAACCCAAACTGGGACCCCAATGATGACAAGAATCAAGAGTGGCTTCATCATTATAGGAATATGCTTCTCAGAGGTATGAGGGAAGCAAGCCAGCCCCTGGTCAATTGGGGAAATCTCAGAGAAACAGAACAAGGCCCTAATGAAAATCAGCATTCCTAAATTGATAATAAGAATGCCTCCAGAATTACAGCCCTTGGGACCCAAATGACCCAAAAGCCGAGTAGTACTTTAATCCCACTTCATCTCTCAGCCCCAGATATTCAGAGAAAACTCTAAAAATTGGCAATAAGTCCACACACTCCCCCTTTCCAACTGGTAGACATCTCCTTTAAGGTCTACAGTAAAGAGATGTGGCATCTGATGAAAAAGAGGACAAGAAGATGCAGCAGCCCTACAGACTACTTCAGGAAAACCAGGAAGAAGATGGCATGAGTGAGTGACCAGGGCCCCCGCCATGGAAATCAGGGCCTGCCTACACTGAGGCCCAAACAATGTGCTTACTGGAAGCAGAAAGGATGCTGGGAAAGGGAATGTCCAAATCATCTCCAGAGAGGGAAGAAAGAGGACAAGCCTGAGGTACCAGTTCCCTGTAACTGGACAAGAAACTGATGGATGGGGCCATGGGGCTCCCTGCCTGGCTCCTCAAAACAAGATCCACATCTCCCCTCCAGGTTACACAGAATAAGGGGGGCAGCCAGTTGGGTTGTTAAATTTTTTTTATTTTTTTGAGACAGAGTCTGTTACCCAGGCTGGAGTGCAGCACCGTGATCATGGCATACTGCAGCCTCCAACTAGGCTCAAGCAGTCCTCCTACCTTAGCCTCTCAAGTAGCTGGGACTAAGGCACACCTGGCTAATTCTTTTTGTTTGTAGAGACAAGGTCTCGTTATGCTGTCAGGGCTGGTCTTGAACTCCCGGGCTCAAATGATCCTCCAACCTTGGCCTCCTGAAGTGTTAGCATTACAGGCATGAGCCACTGTACCCGGCCACCAGCTAAGTTTTTGATCAACACTGTAGCCATGTTTTCTGTGTTGATCACTAAAAGTGGACCCTATCCAGGAGGGAATGTATATAAGGGATATGTCTCATAAAGGAAATAAAAGATTCTTGGAGCCTCTGGTCCATGAAATGGTATCTAAAACTTTGACTCATTCTTTCTTCTGTTCCCCAAATGTCCCATTCTCCTTTTGGACTTCTAAGTTTGGAGCCACAATTTCTCTAAATCAGGACAGGATAGAGGTGTTCTGAGCCCATGGCACTGCCATGCTAGCCGTAGTTCCTGGGGAAGTTCCAAACTTGGGACCTCATAAGACTCCTTGGCTAATGTGGTACTAGATAACTGTATAGCATTAGACTGCCTCTTAGCAGTAACAGGGAGGAGACTGTGCAGTTATTAATTCCTCTTGCTGTACCTGAATAAATACCTCAGGGGAAACAGGAAGTTAACATTAGGAAAGTCCATGCCCAAGCCTCTTGGTTCCAACTTTTAATCAATAGCCATATATATATATATATATATTTTTTTTTTTTTCGTTTTTTTTTTTTTTCAGAGTCTCACTCTGTTGTCCAGGTTGGAGTGCAGTGGTGCATAATCTGGGCTTACTGCAACCTCCACCTCCTGGCTTCAAGCGATTTTTCTGCCTCACCCTCCTGAGTAGCTGGGACTATGAGCGCTCACCACCACACCTGGCTAATTTTTGTATTTTTTGTAGAGATGGGGTTTCACCATGTTGCCCAGGCTGATCTCGAATTCATGGTGATCCGCCCGCCTTGGCCTCCCAAAGTGCTGATAAGGGAGAAGACCACCCCTCATATCGTCTTATGCCCAATTTCTGCCTCCAAAGAAAGAAGCAGTAAAAACTAAAAGGCAGAAATGAAACCCACAGGCAGACAGCCTGGTGCTGCACCCTGGGCCTGGTAGTTAAAGATTGACCTCTGACAATTGGTTATGTGATCTATACATTACAGACATTGTATAGAAAAGCACTGTGAAAATCCCTATCCTGTTTTGTTCTGATCTTATTACCGGTGCATGCAGCCCTCAGTCACGTACCCCCTGCTTGCTCACATGCACTCCCTTAGAGTTGTGAGCCCTTAAAAGGGACAGGAATTGTTCACTCTGGGAGCTCGGCTCTTGAGATGGGAGTCTTGCCGATGCCGTCAGCCAAATAAACCCCTTCCTTCTTTAACTAGGTGTCTGAGGAGTTTTGTCTGCAGCTCGGTCCTGCTACACTGGGATTACAGGGGTAAGCCACCACACCCGGCCTAATAGCCATACTTCTAACTCTATTTGAGAAACTCTCAAATTAGCAATACCAAGTGTTACTTGGTTTCTTCCCCTAAAGGGGGCACTAATTTTATTGCTCTTACTACTGTTGTTTAGTCCCTGCATCTTTAACCTCTTCGGAAAATTCGTATCTTCTAGATTAGAAAAATTTCAACCGTAGGTGCCTTTACGACCTATCCTGGGAGTCCCTAAAACATATTTAGTTTTAGTGCCTAGAGATTTTCACTCCTCTAACATCTCTGGATACAGTGTCCCTGGATCAACATGAAGAAGTTACAAAAGAATGCCCTCTGACCCTGGCCCCTAAAGAATTTACTTGTGCTAAGTAATAAAATGGCTATTGATCAAAACCTGTGTTCTTGGGAAGAGTCATCTGTTACTATGCAGGTGAATGAACCCTGGATTTTCTGGTGGGTAACAGGGCCTAAGGGCTGCAGAGCCTGCCTATGTAAAGGAGATAGCTACTACTCAGCCCCAGCCCATAGCTGGCATGTAAAAATTCAGGCTTGGTGTTGCCAGAGTATCTAAATGATCATGAAGTCCAGATTTTTTATTTTCAAATATCCAAGTTTTCAGCTGTTGGCAACTGTGGTCTTATGATACATACTGTTTTTGTCTAAGGTTCTTGGCTTACAACTCCCATAGCCCTTGTTACAGTCTTTTGTTATAATGTTGGGTGACAGGCCTTAGGAGCCAGCCTCTGGAAGCAGAATTGCTCTGACCTTCTCTAGTCCTCCTTTCACCTGCCCCAAGGCACCACTCTAATTGCCCACCTTTTTGACTGTGGGTCATAAAAGCCTCCCTAGAGAGGGTCCTGCCCTATACCCTGGGGAAAGGAACTGCTGACATCAAGAAGCTTCCATTAAAAACCCTAGAGGACTGGGTTGGGGTTGGGGTGGGTCGAGTCAGTTTCTGGATAGCTGAACATGTGGAAGTACCTGGAGGGTGGGACTCCAGGGAGGACACGGAAACTCCATGGCCTCTTCATCTGCATCCTTTGCAATGTCCTTCATAATAAACAAGTAAATGTAAGTATTTCCCTGAGTTCTGTGAGCTGCTCCAGCAAACTAATCAAACCCAAAGAGGAAGGCATGGGAACCCAACTTGAAGCCAGTCAGTCCTAAGTTTGGAGGCCCAGTATTGTGACTAGTGTCTGGGAAGGCAGGTGTCAGGGTGGTGGGGACTGAGCCCTCAACCTGTGGGGTCTGACACTATCTCCAGGTAGATGGTGTTGGAATTGAATCAGAGGACACCCAGCTGGTGTCCACTGTAGAATTCATTGCTTGCCGGCTGGTGGAGCGAAATCCTCACATATTTGGGGGTCACAAGTGTCTGCATTCATTGTTATATCAGTGTGAGAGCCAAGGAAAAACATGGTTGAAAGTTTCCCGAACCAGCAATTAATTTTTAAAATGCACATTTTAAATTCTGCACAGGTCAAAAAAAAAAAAAAAAAAAAAAACCAACTGCAAGCAAGATGCAGCCTGTAGGCTGTTAGTTTCCAAACAATGATTTCCAAAAAACGTGCTTTAATAATTTTTAACAATTTGGGGAGTAACCTTCAGTCACTCAAAGTATATTAAAGTTCTAAGGACCTTACCATTCCACTAATATTTATATATCTTGCCCAATAAGAAATCATACAATAATGCTTTAAGGATTTTAAGTAAAAGGTAATTGTTATACTAATGCTTTGGAAGACTAAAAACAAGTTCTAATATAAGATTTTTTTTGGATCAGTTCTTAAAGAGCAGCTAAAATATTCCATCAATGTGGCATAAACTTACATCACCAGTGACTAGTACCCTTCTCAAGCTAAAGAGAACATGACTTTCTGCCAAGGAATCTACGAGGGGTCCATTAAGCATGTTAGTTCCAGTTACTTCTTAATGTGCAACCCCAGCATTTTTATTTTTATTTTTTATTTTTATTTTTATTTATTTTTTTTTGAGACGGAGTCTCGCTCTGCCGCCCAGGCTGGAGTGCAATGGCCGGATCTCAGCTCACTGCAAGCTCCGCCTCCCGGGTTCATGCCATTCTCCTGCCTCAGCCTCCCGAGTAGCTGGGACTACAGGCACCCGCCACCTCGCCCGGCTAGTTTTTTGTATTTTTTAGTAGAGACGGGGTTTCACCGTGTCAGCCAGGGTGGTCTCGATCTCCTGACCTCGTGATCCGCCCGTCTCGGCCTCCCAAAGTGCTGGGATTACAGGCTTGAGCCACCGCGCCCGGCCAGCATTTTTATTTTTTAGTCACACGGTCGGAACGATAAGACCATTAAGAGTAACAGCTGCCATAAAACCTCATAAGGCATTTTTAATAAGGCCATCAATTTCTGGCAAGACCTAAACAAAGTTAAATGTATAACCAAGTCTGTTAGCTCTGCTATCAAAGGGAACCAAGACAAAAAAATCAATTAATCATTTTGTAAATGACTTACTCTGTAGTGACAGCAGGAGCTAAGGGATCAAACTCCATTACCTCGTAGTAATTAGGTGGCTGGAGATCACTTTTTGTCATCGCTTTAGGCAAAAAAAAGAGACCAGTAAACATACATTGTGCTTTTCGAGGAATACATGTAATTGATATTCTTTTTATAATTTATACTTCAAATATTAGATCCTAATAAACACAACCAAAACAGACTGGTGTTCCAATGCTACTCCCAAGTTCAACAAATCTGTATATAACAGAAAGGTTTCCAAACCTCAACTACCTTAGCAGTCAAAACACAATAGTTTAACACAAGTTTAACACAAGCATTTTTACAGTCTCTTATAGTCAGTCATAATGCTATCTGCCCTGAATTTGTTTCATTAGCTTAAAAATACAAAGAACTACCTCTAATCTCTCCTATTTTCAGTTACCAACGAATCTCTGGCAGACTCATATATTCTCGTAAGTTTCCTTATTTGATGCAAATAATAAGGTCCCATGTACCTGGATGATTGCTGGGCAAAGGTGGCAGACTCTGGTTTGATGGTGCCGCTGCAGTGGTTTGTAGACTAACCGGCTGTAGAAACACTGAATTTGAATGTTCCAGAAACTGAAGAAAGCATAACACATGTTCATATAAACATTCTACATTAAGCTTTTCTTTTATTAGTTAGACTCCTACACTTCCAAGTACATTATTCCAAGAACCATATACTTTGAACTGGACAAGAACAAGTTGTTTGTAATTATTACTTTAGTATTTTTAGGTTATCATCACTTATGAGATTTACTTCGTTTCTGCTGGGCATGGTGGCTCACATGCCCAGATTTCCACATTCTGAGTGAAAATAATCCTAACACTCAGAATGTGGAAATCTCTTGTCCTTTTTTTGTCTCTTGTCCTTTTTTTGTCTGTCTCAGCAATTTGGGAGGATGAGGCAGGAGGATTACTTGAGCCCAGGAGTTCAAGATCAGCCTAGGCAACAGCAAGACCCCAGCTCTAAAAAAAAAAAAAAAGCTGGGCATGGTGGCTCGCATTTGTAGTCCCAGCTACCCCAGAGACCAAGGCAGGAGGATCGCTTGAGCTTAGGGGTTTGAAGCTGCAGTGAGTTATGATCATATGATCTTGCTATATGTTCTAGCCTAGGTGACTGAGTGAGACTCTATCTCAAAGGCAAGAATTTACTATATGTTTGTCTGGATTTATGCCTAATGCACCCCATTTCCCATAGAAACTGAAAAAAAAAAAACAAAACATATTGCTTTTAAAAATGAAGCAGATTCAATGGCTCAGGCCAGATTCTCTGTTGTTTCACTCTGAATATAAAATCTCAGTCCTGAGTAGGAAAAAAAAAAAATCTTAAATCTACAGAGATGCACTCAGTGACACAACAAAATCAGGACTGATAAAAGATTAAAAT